TCACTACCCTGAACTGATGAAAAACTTCTCAAAATTGTCTCTCTTGTATGGCTTTGAATATCATTTATCAACTCCTCCATTGAAACAACTACACTCTGAACTGTACTGTTAGCAATTCTTGATGCCTGTAACTGAGCAACAACAGATCCACACATGTCCTGCAACAGTTTTTCAGACTTAAGCACTGCTGAATCGTGTTGTGAAGTTGAAGGTGTTGAGTCAGCTTCACTAAGATTCAGCTCAAAAGTTCTTTCACAGTTACCACTGGATTCACCCTCATTCACACTCACATTGTGGACTGTCCCATCACCATGAACTGTGATTAAATGTTTCTTAAATCCAGAATATGTGCCAAACATTGAAGAACATCCGAACTCTGCACATCGTAAACGCAAGAGCTTTCCAGGGTAAAGTCCGTGTAGAAGTTTCAAATGCCGACAAATCAGAGAGGAAGTCCGATGAGAAGTTTTACAAATAAAACATGTAAACATGCTTTGACCCTATCTTCAATCACTCCTTTCCACTGAGAAATCTTGCCCTTAGTTCTCTGACTCTTGGTCTTTCTTTGGAGGTTCCAGCATCTATGTTGTACACTGCCGTTTGGATGAACATGTAGAAGTTTGCCAGACTTTCGTGGTATGATGTGCTGAACACAAAGTGTGCTTTAAAGAGCTCATCAAATGCTGCTACCGTCGTCGGAGCCTTGCATGGAATTGGTTTCATGTCGACAATAATGAAGAACCTCTGAATGCTCTTGGTATTTTCTCCAATACAGAGCAGGAAAGGCTGTGCAGATCCGACTTTCTCCAAAAACATTGGAATGCTGGTTCCCATCTAGATAATATAAGAAAACCAGGCCAATTACAATGAATGCTAATTCTGTTTTATAGATGCAATGCCAAACATGGTCCAGTAAGTTACTGAAGAAAAGAAGGTACAACTGACATCTGTGATTTACGGTGGCTGAGAAGCACAAACCAAATCACAATTATGAAAACAAATGAACAAATCAAAAAACAAAATAGCTAGTCAGAAACAATTTTCATTTTTTTTTTTTTAAATGAAACGAGCATAATGAACGAGCATAATGTTTTTAGATTGTAATGTTACAATGTTATTATGAAATGTGATTTTGACCCTTTTTGCACATAATATATAGGCTTACATTGTTGCATTCACTTTATTAGTTGTCATAGCCTTTAATATATTGTTTCGTTGGACAACATTGGGCAGTATGTAAAATATATACTGTATATTAAATACCGATAAAAAAATAAAAATCCAGATACAAAAACGAAAATACCAAGATATATACCGTATATAGCAAATCGGCCAAATAATAGAGATATGAAGTTTTGCCCATATCACCCAGCCCTACCCATTAGCACTATATTTACATTATTTTATTAAAACTTCTGCCGCAGTGTGCTGTACTTAATTGACTGCATGTCTTGATTGACAGATGTATCATCCAATCTGCTGTAAGTATTCAATTCACAAAATATATCTAATCTTTTCCATTTTGTCATTGTGTTTTCTGACTTGCCATTTCGTTTTTAGACTTGGCGCTGCATTTATAGTTTGACGTTTTGTTTTTGGATTTGTTAAATTGTTTTCATAATTGTGATTTGTTTTGCACGTCTCGGCCACTGTGGATTTCAGAATGAATTAAAAACACATTAAAACTCACCCTAAGAAATCGCACCACATGGTCAGCTGCCTGAAGGGGGCTGATCTTTGCTGCCTTCTTGTGACCTTTTGGAGTTGGGGGCAGGAGATACAGCAGCAACAGTAAGGCTGAGATGTCACTATCCCACCCTGTAGAGTCTAAAATAGACCAAGAAAGAAGATAAGTAACATAAGTAACTGGACTGGACAAATACTCAAAATAAGTGTCATGAAGCATCAAAATACTAAAATAGCAAAGCTAGCAAAGCTATTATTGTCTTTGGTCCTTGTGCCCATGATTCCTTTTTATGATATGTGTTAAATCTTACCATCACCAGGTTCACGCTGAGCATCTTTGATGAGTTCCTCAATGTGGTGACTGGAGGACAATCCTTTGCTGTCATTGATCACTCTCTGTTTGAAGTAGGTTGGCCACTTTGCCAGAAACTTTCCTGAGATCTCTTCTCCAAATAGTAGCAAAAAATCTTGTTCAATCTGTATATAAAAAAACAAAAAACAGAACAAACACATAAAACTTGAGGTAGAGGACACAATATTAAACAGACTACGATTTATACTTACAAGGCCAGGTGTGTCCAGGAATCTAGGGAACATGTCCAATACATCTAGAGACTTCTCTGGACTATGGACCATAGCCTGTCTGTATTGAAATGTTATCTTCATTTTTTCCCTAACAACGGTCTCATCTGAAGTGTGTTTCATAGTTGATATCGCCTCTCTGCACTCATCTCCGGTCAGCTGTTCGGTGTTTGAAAATGGTACTCTCTCTGAAAGTGGACCATTGTTGGCTTCAGTTGACTTGGGTCTGTTTTTTTTCACCAACTGCAGTACTTCTCTTTACAGTTTTTAAGCGCCGGGCCAGGTACCCAGTGCCGCTAGACGCATCGTAGCAATGCTCCTAAAAAAAAATAAATAAATAAAAGAGCCCAGTAAACGATTTAAAAACAAATTAAGGCAAATCATTAATTTTTTTTTAAAGTGAATAATTTTTTAGACCTGTATAATCTGAAAAAAAGCACTTACATATCCGTTTTTAGAATATGGGTCCTCCAGGTTAGGAAACAAAGTGACAATACCTAGAGCATACTTAGTCCGCACAGTTTGTGGAGGAGTTCTTCTGTTTTGAGTCATAAAGCAGGGACATTGGTAAACAAAGGGAATTGGGGACAAGACAACCTTTCAACATAAACCAGTCTAAAAGGGTACTTGAATTATTTTTTTTTAACTCAGATCATATTCATAATCCATCATTTATATTAAAATTCGTACCCATGAGCTTCAATCATGTCGGCAACGAGCATGTTAACCAACTGTCTGAGGGTGCTGTCTGACAAAGTTTTGGTTTTATCGTATTCAAACATTATTTTGTCTCCACCAGGTTTTGACTTCAGGACTACAGTAGTAAATCTCCATCCGAAGGCCAGAGGGCGCTCTCGCGCGGAAACTCCAAATACGCCCCGCAGAAGAAACCCAAGAAATGCCTATAGCGGTTGCTGAATAAACAGAAAATTTAACTGCTTTCATTGATTCAATGTGACTAATAAACACAGGACTATGACAATATATGATTTATCCGAGTTCTTATTATAATTATTATCATTTTCATTCTAATAAAGTATATAATAATGCAATGCTTATCGACATAGCCTTTATCACTACTACTTCGAATACTATGAAATATGTTGTGTGCCTTATTCTTTGTAAGAAGCCACATCATCTCACAGAAGGATTTATTTCAAACACTCGACTGACGTTATGAAGTGAGTTTGGAGTAAAAAATATGTTATTAAATGTGGTATTTTCGTATGCTTTCAGATGGAGCAGCATTTACTTAGAGCCGTAGTTCACTGAGAAGCTATGCAAACAGCTGTCATTATCGCGAACGATTTCTTCAATTTCATAATCGCGCGATTATATCGTCTGCGATTATGAACGTGATTTTGCGTAGCTTGTCAGTGAACTATGGCTCTGTGTAGTAAATGCTGCTCCATCTGAAAGCAGGTGATGGAGATTTACTACTAATCACAGAACCGGC